TCGAATAAGTTCCATAAAATGGAACCACATGTCCATCGCATATAAACTTTAGGCAGATATACAGTATATACTGTATATATAAAAGATTGGCCGCGGCATGGCTCAAGCGGTTAGTCGCTGGCTTTCCACAACGGCGGCCCGGGTTCGATCCCGGGCCTGGTCAAGTGGGATTTGTGGTGGGCAAAGTGGCGCTGGGGCAAGTTTTCTCCGAGTACTTCGGTTCCCCTGCCAATCTTCATTCCACCAGTTGCTCCACAATCACCCTCACCTATCATCTGGGGCTCGTACAATAGACCAGAAGGGGCTGCAGTACGAGGGACTTAGTCCCACCCCACTACAATAAAATAAAATATATACGTAGGATGAGCAACTTATTTTTGCATGCAACCTGGGAAGAGCAGACGAAAGGGAGTAAGGTGGTAGGTGGAACCAGCTATTGTGTTAACCTTGAGTGTCTTGTGACGTCGATAGCTTGTATCACGTGACCAGTATCGCTCCTAACAAAATGGCCGACAACGATATGTCGTTTCGCCAGCGAGCTGTCATCGAATTTCTTGTGAAAGAGGAAATCCCTGCTGCAGAAATTCACCAGAGACCTCAGCATGCTTATGGAAGTGTGTGCATGGGTGCGAGCAGTGTTCGAAGATGGGTGAAACATTTTAAAGATGGGAACACCAGCATCGAAGATGAGCCTCGGAGCGGTCGTCCTCGAACAGCCTCAACTGAACGCAACAAGGAAAGAGTGGATGAGATCATTCAAGATGACAGGCGTGTGACTGTGGACACAATAGCCCGAAAACTTGGAATAGGGCACAGTGCAGTACAGGAAATGATTGAAAGCTTTGATTATAGGAAAGTTTGTGCTCGTTGGGTCCCGCGGTTATTGACCGAAGACCACAAAGTTCAGCGAAAAGCCATCACCTCAGAACTGCTGCAGAGATATCGACACGAAGGCGATGATTTTTTGCTCTGTATTGTGACAGGTGACGAAAGCTGGTTTCACAATTTCGAGCCTGAAACGAAACGGCAGAGTATGGACTGGCACCAATTGCATTCTCCATCAAAAAGGAAGGCAAAGACAGTGTCATCAGCTGCGAAGGTGATGGGCACAGTCTTCTGGGATGCAGAGGGGTTCATTCTGGCCGAATTCCTGGAACCTGGGCAAACCATCAATGCTGCTCGATATGTCCAGACGCTACACAAGCTCCATCGTGCATTGCACGATTAACGCCCGGGACGAAACATCATCATTCTGCACGACAAAGCTCGCCCCCACGCCGCTCGCCTCACATTTGAAGCAATTGCAAAGATGGGGTGGGAAGTTCTTCCACACCCCTCCTATAGCTCTGATCTGGCACCCTCCGACTGCCATCTTTTCAGATTTGTGAAGGATCCGCTGCGTGGACAACGTTTTGAGAGAAGGGAGGCAATTCAGAAAGCAGTGCGTCAGTGTCTTCGGATGGCTGGAACGGAGTTTTACAGGAGGGGAATTTTCAAATTCCCAGAATGCTGGGAGAAATGTGTACAAAGAAGTGGCTATTATGTGGAAAAATAAAGAAAAGCCTGTAGATTGAGGTGGTGTATATGGTTTGTCAATAATAATGCATATTACTTTACAAAAAATTGTTGCTCATGACTTTCAGTACGATCCTCGTATATAAAAGATATAGCATATGAGATATTATATTAATCATATTGCTTTGGTGGAATAAATTAACAATCGCAAAAATAAACTCTTCATATATAATTACTACACACGTGGCCATGAATTTAACTAAAAGAGTACGAGACACTGTGGAGTTTGCTCTTGGTTACTGAGGCTATGAACGGAACTAGCAATGGGTTCCAAAGTGGCACTGTTTAACAGGGTATAATTGAATTTATATCTAGTGCTCATCTAGCTGAACTGAATATGATACTAATAGTGATGTAAAAAACCTAAAAGCAATATATTCTTTTTCTTTTGACAAGAGGATCCTCACGCCACGCGCAGCTGAAACCTACTGAATGAAGCTTCACAAGTTACTTCGAACCACTGACTTTAGGCCTATATGCTGAACACTGTTCACTATCTAAATGCAACTTGTTTACCATCTTACACTGCATGACGTTATGTGAGAACATATAAGCATATTGATTGCTCTGGAGTCCACTGTCACAGTTGATGATAAGAAAGATACATATTCGTACATGTAAAAAAACTACTACTGCGTTAAAACATGAACGTCTCATACATGAGCATATAATATGTGAGTGTTGTGTACTTCAGTCTTCACGATCACTTAGCTGTGTTAAAAATATTACCTTAGAATTCATAAAAAAGTACGTGTACTTGAATGACAAGTAGACCTTTACAGCTAAGAGAATCCAGGAAGGCTGTAATAATTTCTCTATAATGGGTAAAGTGGCCGGAATGTGAAGGTAAGCAATCAACCCTAACTAATGCAGAGATCTGGAGTACCTAGTTCCTAGGACAACAGAATTACCATACCGTTTAACGAGCGACTTATAGCAACTAATAAACTAGCTAAATAGTTCCATTGTGCAGTGTTAAACTTGAACAGCTGCTCAAAAAATTCCCCTTTCTTTTACGGAACACGAAGGTTCATTCTCACGTCCACTAGTGCTAGGCAGGGCACTGTGCACAGCCAGTTGATCCAGTCCACATTCTCACACTTTATTCCTTCAAGGTATACTTTAATATTCCTCTCCGCTTTACATCAATTTCTTCCAAGCAGTATTTTCTTTTTAAGCTTTCAGGGCAAAATTCCGTATGCATTTTTCACTTTCTCTGTGCTTACTATCTTATCCTCCTTGATTTGATCGCCCTAATAACACTAGGTGTAAAAATTATGAATCTCCATATTAAGTACTTTTCTCTATCGCCCTGCTGCTTCGGGGTTTCTAAATTCCCATATTTTCCTCGGCCCTTTGATGTCAGGCGCCTTCGATTTTCTCACCTGGCGGCGAGGAACGAAGTTTGATAGCAACGTAAACAACTGACAAATGTACTCATCTCGTTTTGTCTTCTTGATCTTCATGTTTTTGTTTACGAGATGGAAGATGGTGGATTCTGTATTGAATGGAAGTAAACAATCTCCAAAAATATTTGCTTCTAATTTCTCGATGGTTATAATTTTGACATGTTACTGCTATTCTGAAGTATTTCAACACTGTCATATACTCACGTCCCTAGGTGATGATTATTATTCTGTTTTCTAAAAAATAATCTACAAGGTCTTCACGAAAACTGATCAGTGAAAATTTTATACATTTATATTTTACAAGGTAAAGGTAAATCTGTCTCTGTGAAAAGCCGTGGAAGCCCATAGGTTTGTGAGACGGCAAGGCTCCCACATTTTCTCTAGACACTCGGCTCACAGATGGCGCCAAGTTTGTCAGTCTTATGCACCAGTCGCTCTTTGCCCCCAGGAAGATACCTGGTACTAATTTGTGTTTCAGTCTGATTGACCCCAGGGCCATAGTGCGGCTGGAAGGATTAGATCAATTCAGTGACTTCATCGGGAATCTAACCCGCGACCTTCCGGCTTGTAGCACAGTGACTCAATCAACTACGCTACCGCCTTCCCCTTATTTGTATTTAAACATAGTACAAAATTAAAACCACAAATAATTACATGAACAGTTAGATGGCTCAAGATAGAAACCGCCTAGTTGTTAGTGTATATATATATATATATAAGAGGATGACAGATTTTCGGATTATGTTAGCCTCACCACGGGAGGCAATGTTGAATACTTGATTAGGACCTATCGTCCGATCAGGATACGTCGGTAGACTTATATTAGGATGTCAATTGTGTTAATTAGTTATTTAATTAGTTCGTTGGTTATTAATTTGGCAATATATTCTTGAGGATCGATAAATATGCATTACTCTAAGCCAGTTAATGTGGGAAGGTAATTCCTGGTAATGGAAACAAGTTCAGTTTGTATGTTTATTCAAAAAGTCGAATGATAAATTGTAAGATGATTTTGAATAGTTAATCTCTATAATAATTAAGTTAAAAGTATCTCAAACTGAATTTTGAAGCCTAAAAGAATATAAATTTATGTAACATGTAATTGATGGTTCTGCCAGTCTCTCATTCATGATCATAATAGGTGAATGCTTCATTTTTTTCAGTAAAAGTCGCATTTAAAACCGACGAAAATCTTGACTAACTTCAGACTGCACTGAGATTAGATTTGTTTTGCTCGTTTAATATAATGTTCTATTACAATACGACTTTGACGGATATGCCAATATTTAAAAAGTTGTATGTATTTAAACTTCTTTGGTATATGAAATAACTGTGAATAGTGACGCCTTAATATTGACTGTTCATTAATTTAGTGTACTCAGTACATAGGCTTGATCTTTCGCCAATTTAAATGATCATAGACTAACAGGGTCTAATCAACTGTGTGTGTGTGAATTCAATATTTTCTGTTGGAATGAAACAGCTCATCGGTGTCTAAATTATTCAGTTTATCCAGAATAAGTCACCACGGAATTACAGGATATCATTTCAGTTCTTAAGTTATTCACAATGATAATTCTTACGAATAATTTAAATATCATGGATCAATGTATTTCATCATTTATTCCTTCTTCTGCAGAACTTGCCTTTAGACGCACGCAATATAAGCTTACGTTTACAATCTTGTTCTTCTAATTTAACTATTTCGTTTAACGAATCCTGTGCAAGATAAATATGATCCCCAAATTGACTGCAGTTATGTTTTCAATAAGGGTTCCCGTCATTATGTGTGGGCACGTGAAAACTGACGCCTGTGTTCGTGGTAAATTCACGTCGCACTGCTTAATCACTTAGCTTGTGAAAGGTGAGAGACGGTTGAAAACCCTATGGGGAGATGTATGAAAATTCATTCTCGGAAAAGTGTAAATTACCCCGCAAATCGTTACAAAGCTCGGTAGGTAAGCCCTCGGTTCGTATCTTGCCGTGTCTGGTTAGTGGGCAGGTGCGGGCGGCTCTCACTTCCGGCAACAGGATTCCAAGCAGAGAGAAGCGAAGCGCAGGAAAGCCAGCGCGAGACTCCGCCTTAGTACCGAGAACAGCCAATCAAGTTAAGAGCCCGCCAATGATTCCACACAGAATCCTTATATATAAAGTATTTCCCAAGTCCGGCTGCTGCAAGAGACCACATGGCCTGTGGTTGAGTGAGCTAATGTTATACTCGTATCAGTGCGTTGGTTGTGGCGCGACCAGAATGAGCCTGTGAGAGAGTTGTTGAGTGGACCGGCTATGGGCAGGCATCCTCTGACCTCAGTAGCAGTGCCCGACCCTGGTCCCATTCCCACCTTCCGACTGTTTCTCGTCTTGTTTGCCGCCCCACTGCTGTTCGCGTTCTCCCTAAGCAACAGTCACGGCGTAGCGGCTCTTTCCGTCCCAGTTCCTGTCATCGCGGCTCCGGCACCAGCTCCGTACGACCTCGATCAAGAGGAAGAATATCAAGCAAATTTGATGGAAGGACAAAATTCCAGACTTGGAGAGGAAGAAGTGACAAGACTCAAACAAAGGATCCTCGAAGGCCTGGGACTAACCCGTGCTCCCGACGCATCCAAGGTAAGTCAGGCCTGGTTTCAGGCAGTAGGTTACAGTACCAAGTTCATTCATATGTTAGTCCTTATTAGAAATCACGCGGCGCCCTGATTTTGCACTAGTTGTGGTAACGCCTACTGTTTTTCTTTTTGTTTCGTGCCTTTTCTTACCTTTCCCTTAAAGAGAATTTTCATCAGGTGCTTGGGAAATCCCGCCAGAGTGAGAGAGAACGAGGAGGTGTGCAGTGACAGACAGACAGTACGTTTATTCCGTTTCAATTCCTTCGCTAAACGCGGTTCACCCTGACAGAGGTATTTCCGGTTCGCGTGTCTCTCCGACCGCTCCGTTGCGTGTGATTGTGGCATTCAGTGACGTGTTACGGTAATTCGGGCGTATATTTTATTCCAGATAGCGTTAGTTAATTTGTCTTTTGTCAGCATAAGCATTTTATTTGGTGCAAGAGGCGTGGTTTGAAAACCTCTGTTCTCATAAGATAATAATTTTCCAAACAAGAGTCGTTCTTAGTAAGGCTAGCAACATCGCGTGATAGACGAAGGCATGAAATCTCGTACCAAGAGACGGAAAGTAACAGTGACGGAGAGCTCTTACTGCTAAACCAAAAACTTAATAACTGACAGTTGCTAAGAAATTTATAAGCGTAAAACGTTTCATTTCGTGCACTTAAGACTATGGGTTACGACGCACGCGCTTATCCACTCGTCTGTTACTAAAGGGCTGAAGTGAAATCACCTACTCTTACGTTTTTACCTCTCTCAGTAATATTCCATTTATGTCATATAGCAAATCCGTCTGATTAATCTAAAATTTTGCTATGCCTTTATATTTAAGAATATGGTTCCATTTATTTTCTTTCTAATGGAAATAATAAAAATTTACGAAACTTGATTAACGTTGCTTCTGTTTAATCAGTAAGTTAATAGGATTTATTTAGTTTTAAAACATATATATTAAATTGTTTTACCAAATAAAATGTACTTCTGAAGACATAGTTTGCAGTGTGTAGAATCTTTCATGTTGTCAAGAAGTTATAGGTTGTCGTTTCAACGATAAAAATAAGGTTTTATGAATTATGAAGAAATGAAATATAGTTGACGCTCCGGAATTCAAACCATTGCGAAATATGACCCATATAAAACAATTAAAGCGATAGGAATCCAATTAAAATGAAGCACTAAATCAACTGTTGACTATGGTTGAACCACACAAGTGACTGGCACGGTGCCACTGGATGCGAGTTGAACCCCTTGCTTTCGTAATAAAGATTAAGTTTATGGAACTTGGAAGTAGTCTAACAGTGCAATTGTGACAACATGGTGATTCGATTGGCTACAGTCGGAGTTAATAAACTATTACAATGAAATGCCACACGATATCACATCCTGTCGTCATCTTTATGACATACCGAGTTTCTGGGATGAGTGTTATGCGATCCACTTGTACATGGGCACGAAATAGAAATCATCTAAATAAAATATTCATATGTAGTGGCACTTTAAGCGTCATTAGTACGTTAAAATAATGTCTTGATCCTCAAACCAACGCCGTAAAACTTTGTCTCTCGTGGTTTTCCTAAGCCTTTGAATCAAGGGCAGTTATTTGAAATAAGCCAAACCCGCCTCTTCTTCTGTCACTTCCAGTTTCCTTGCCTAATCATATTCTCATCTCATTCAACTGTTCGTAACCCTTGAGATTGACACCGCATCATCAAATCATTTACGGACGAATAAACAGCCATTACTGTGTACTTATGGCTCTGGCTTCGTCATCAAAATATGCAATGTCTGATTGTCTACATCGGCTGAGACGTTCAATTCCTCCTTTCAAGTTCACATTCCGAAAAATAAATGAGCACATATTGTTACATGTCTGTACAAAGCATATCGCGACCGATTGTGCAGCCTAAAAATTGTAGGTCATTCAGCTAGAAAAAATGTATTAATTTAGATGAAACACATATTTTATTATTTTAAAATATAATAATCCTAAATCACATGATTATGTATCTATCTCCCTATGGCTCTATAGCCCTTGTGGACCTTGGTCCCTTATCCAGTTCCTTAATCTATACACAGTCCGCAGAACTCCTTGGACGAGGGATCAGCCTGTCGCAAGGCTGCTACCTACACGCAGAAAAACATAAACACAGAATAGACGCACACACAGACATCCATTCCGCAAGTGGGAATCCAACCCACGATCCCAGTGTTCGAGCGGGTGAAGATGGTTCATGCCTCAGACAGCGCGCCCACTGTGGTCGGCAATCACATAACTACTCTGATTAATAACTGTGTGTGCGTAATGTATTGTCCCCTCCATGTGGCTATTCCGCTACATCCAGAGTGCTTCAGGTCTATTTCATACGTCGACATTACGGTCAACTTCGTCTCTGGTCACCGAACTCCTGTTCCTTCAGACTTGCCAGCTGACATTCGGGAGGGCATTGCTATACCGCTTAAAAAATAGCATTTACCACTTGAGTTCTGTGCTTCAGAAAGAAATTCAATCTAGAGAACGAAGAAATTTGCCCGTCCGTCATTATCCTGTCTAGGGGAATTTCACGTCAGACACGTGGTCGAACCGGTTCCGTCTGTTCGCACCCGCTGCCTAATCGCAATGAAAGGTATCTCGCCAACTGAGCTCGGTTCTGATATATTCCTTTAGGCAGAAACATTCTCCTTTCTTTTCCGTGTAGGCCTTACTTAATCTTAATCTCTTCAGCTATAAATTAGTAGAACAGTTCGGGGCTAAACACCCAGTTTGTACCCAATGTTTTCTGCAGCCTGTCTTCAGTCATGTTAGGTACGGTTTTGAAAGTTTATTAAAAGCTTTCTCTTTCCGATACTAGTAACATAACAGATCAGCCCCAATAAATTATCGAGGGTGTGATAATATGAGGGCTGATAAAAGAGATAGCACATCTCAGTAGCAGCAGAATGTTGCCTTACAACGCGAATCTGAAATATTCACAGCTAAACTTGTCTCAGTGTTACACTGCTCATCAAGAAACCAGTACGGATGGGTTGTCCCGTGATTCAAGATTGTTCTCTTCTCCACAAATTTCATATCGGCTCTCGGGTCTCGGTAATACAGCCGGAGCGTAAAACTGATCAATTACCTCAACTTAGTGCCTCGGTCAAGAATGGTGAAGCTGTATATCCTCTCCCCCACATGGCTTTCCCATATGTCTTCACGGCACAGTGCTTAATTAAGCACAGGGACAACTTCATACATATACATATAAGGTATACGTGGTATATACGGCTTTAATTCCAAAACGTTATAGTTCATGATCTTACGTCTTGTTTTAGCCCCAAGGTCGAAATCCAGAATGCACCGGCCGATGTGCTACTTTCAGCTTTGGACAAATTGTACGCTATGTGTCAGTTGTTTGCCGGTATGCAGGACCCTGCGTACCGGCAGAGAAAGGCACCGTGCATTTGTCTGTATGTATGCGTACAGACACACACATATGTCTGCACATATAAGTATATCGATGTAAATTCTCTAGGTCGAATCCGTAAATTATCATCTGCATTATTACCGAAAGTGTAGTAACACATGCAATCCTTATTCGGCTCTGTAATCTTGCATAGGACTATCACTTCATATGAGATCGAACTGTCGCTGTTACTGAATACTAATTAGAACTACATAAGACAGGGATTTTTCATAGTTATGCCGGTCAGGGTTGCATTAATGATTTAACATTTTAATGGATTATATACAAAAATAAATATATGTATATGCATATCTTAATTCGTTTTTTTATGGTGTAAAATATTGCATGTTATGACTGGCTTTTGTGATTATGTGGTGAATTTCCGGATTCCATAACAGGGAATTTCTTACGAAGATGAATTATCTACTACTTCTTTAGTGAAAATCCTGTACCATGAGTTAATTAATTAATAGGCATGTATAAGTAGATTAGTTGGTTGATTAGCTATTTGAAAACGTGTACTGAATTGTCCTAACCTACGGAATTATATGCAATAAATCAGCACAGAGCTGGAATCCTAAGGTTATATGAAAGTGTGTCTGCAGCCAGAGTCTTTGCTAAACTGACACGGAAGCAATTCTTTGCACACCATCTCCTGAGTAATTTGAATTGTGGGGTATATATGAATATATTCATACGATAACTTGAATATATTTTCGTTTCTATGCTTTTGGGACCATAATCATCTTTCAAATTGCTATGAGGGCACTGTGAGGCATTAAACTGGTAGTAAATTATTCGCCTATTAAGAAGGTTCTTAACTTATTCAGTCCTGACGCAAACCTGAGTGTTTACTGTATCTCACATAACTGACGGAGGATGATCAGTTTCCTTCTTTTGCATAGTTTATCTCCTAAATCTATTAACGATCTACGTCATTAATAAGATTGTAGTGAATTATATAAGTGTCTACATTTTAATTACCTAATTTTATATTCATTCTAAGTACCAAAAACTGAACAAATTTTAGTGAAGTTGATGGCTCTTCGGCCTGGGGGGAATGTCAGTTTGGCTACACCGTTTATTTCGTCGATAAATGCGCAAGGTGAACTGAGGAGGTGTCCTTCAGAAAGTGCATTCATTTATATGTAATTCTAGACCTTGGGTATTCGCGGCCGAAAATGGCAAATTTCGCCGAAACACTGGAAAACTTCACTTTTTGACGCGGCATATTAGTAAGTGCTGGAGGCACATATTTGTATGTAGTTTTATGTTTATGTGGCTATATAGCATCTTTGCAAAATGTCTCAGTGAAATATAAAACAATGTTTTTTTTTTCAATGACACTTCGATCCCATTCAGGGCCCAGGCCTCTTGTTCAGTTCCGTAATCATTTTTCACAGACGGTATGACTCCTTGGACGAGTGGTCAGTCCGTCGCAAGGCCTCTACCTAGACACAGGACAACACAAACACAGAATAAACGCATGCGTGCCTTAAGTGGAATTCGAACCCACGATCCCAGCGTCCGAGCGAGCGAAGACAGTTCATGCCTTATATTGCGC